CCCGTCGTATGGTCCTGGGTATTGATCTTGTGGCTGGCGATTTATTTTCAGAAAGTTACGCTTGCCAGGGTTGAATTGTGTACCCCGTGGCGTCGAAGTACAGGAAGCCGGAGATGACTGGGGTTCTGTAAGAAGCGAAGCATTGCCATGCGTGGTTAATGACAGTAATCGTATTTGGATCGAGTCTCCTGTACCTTTGCCACATGATACTCCTCGACGGTCCAAGTAATCTCGCAATTTTCGTCGAGCCTCGTTGCTAGACTTGTTCAAGTTGTCTGGCGTAATGTCCTCTCGAAACCTGATTAGCAAATCGTCCCCTTGCAGTTCCGAAGTCGTGGCCTCTTGGACAAACTTGTCCGGTTCCTGGTCGTGAAATTCCGCTTCAGCCATTGTGCTAGAACTTGCAATGGTTTGCACGCAGTGACAGGACTTGGGCGGGTAGTGACAAGGGAGTTTGAGTAAGGGAGTTTGAATTCACACGCAGTTGCAGTGGTTGATTTTGGGAACAGTAGCTTGGCGCACAGTAAGTTGGCTTGATGGGAGACTTTGGCACGCTGCTGGGAGGGAAGGACCGAGGAAGGAGAAGAGAAACGGAAGGGGAAATTGGTGGAAGTGTCGCGCGCGAGCGCTACCCCTAGACAATGGTCCTGAACACCCGCCGCGCACGCGCTGCCCTGGGATTGAGCGGTGTGCTACCTCTAGGCAGTCGTCCGACACTCGCTCCTTGCCCAGCAGAAAAACGGTTGCCCTTACAAGTCGGCGCAATTCGCGAATGTGGCCGAATCTCGAGAGTTCAATGAATGATGTGGTGGTGTACTGTGTTCCTCCCAGAAGGGGAAGATGGAATTCGGGTCGTTGAAGATATAGGAACTACTTGCACCGCCGCCGGTAGTGTAAGCCTAGTCTATGTAAGCTACAGTAAGCTAGTTCTTTCACAGAAGGAACAGGCACAGACATGGACCTTTGGGATGTTGAAACAACCTCTATCACACGATTGCTCTCCAAGTGGGGGCATGACCGCGGGGAATGGATGTTGCTTGTGAGGCATGCTTTTTAAGTAAGCAGCATTAGCGCATAGATCTGCACACGGGAGCATACTGTACAAGCGAACTCTTCTGATACGATTGCCGGCCAAGCGTCGAAGGCAGTGGACGTCATCGTTGTCCAACTGTTCCTCAACGCGCAGATGGCCCCCCTGCAAGACTAGGAGAGAGTACTATGCCGTCCCTGTCCCAGGGCGCAGAATTAGGGACAGATTCCTTGGCGAGCGTCGTGAAAACCTAGACGGACTCCCAGTGCCCGCAAGGCGGCCTATCATCGAGGGGAATGACGAATGATTGTTCGCGTGATGTGTTCCAGTCAGTGGGCTCCTCCATTAGGCATGAGTGCTAGTACGAGATTGGTCAGGATTACAAAAATCTGTGTATGCTGTCGACGAGAAATTGTATCAGGGCTGCTGTGGGCTTGAATTTGCGTCCAAGTCCCAATAGTTGGGGCGTGTCGACAAGGAGACTGAATAGGAAAGTCGCATGTATAGAAGGGCCGGAGGCGAGAGCTGGGTGGGCTAGAGGAAAGCATGAAGCTGGAGTGTGTCAATTGAATAATTCCGTTTTAGCCAACCATCACTGATTGACTCGGGAATTCTGAAACAAGGGCTACCCTTGGTACCGTATTGCTGCACTTACGCAGCGCGAAGTGTGTATCCGACCGTGCCGCGCTGCACCGCATAGCAATCTTTGATGTTCGCGCGATATGTGGGAGCCTGCGTCGCTGTCATCGCCCACAACTGCGACACACGATGCCACATGGCGCGGTTGTCGCTGCTGAACGAAATCTCAAGCAAGTTGACGCGGTCATTGCAACACGGCTCCTTCTCGCGCCCAGTCAAGTCAGCACCTCTCGCGCAATCACTGCTGCGGTTGTCCCAAATTCTGTCTCATAAAAAATCGAGCTCGACTTCCACTATGATATAATTCCAGGCTTTGTCTTTCACTCCTTTTCCCTTATCCCGAGCCTCGCCGACGTCAGCAATTTATCGGAGGGAGGTATGATAACCCCTTTCTCGGCCTCCCCTGCTGTCCCCGGTGCGAATCCCTGCTTCTCCGAGGCGCTGAGGGCCGTGAACAGTTCCCGGAGTCGGAGTTGAGAGTCCACCACGGCCGCCGAGACGCAATTCGCTAGTCCTGCGAACCCGTGCAGCATGCGAGCTCAAACGCAGTGGCGGTGCAAGAATGCGTATCGAAAGACGCGTCGGGCGCCGAGCTCCACCTTCGCGAGCTTGGCCGGGGACAGCATGAACTTCTGAGCGCACGAATACACAACGATCCCGAGTACCTCCAACCGCTGCTCCCCCCCTGAAGAAGCATTTGTCGGGGTGTAGCCGTAGTCCTAGTTTGCGTAACAGCGCCCGCATGAGCAAACCCAGTTGCTCGGTGTCCTTTCTTCCGGTGGCGGAGCCCCTCGACGACTTTGCGGCGCCGAAGAAGTCGTCGAGATACGAGAAAATGCAGTGTCCCAGCGAGCGTATGAAAGATACGACGGGCTTCATCGCCTTTGTGTAGAACCATGGTGCGACGGCGAGGCCGCAGTTCATACAGAGCGGGACGAATACGTCCTCCCCGATCAGGAACACCAAGCGCTCCTGATCCACGCGCCTCAGTCGGAGGTGGTATTAGGCGTCTTTCACGTCGGCGTTGAATAGACAGTCCCCGGGACGCAGCACTGCCGCCAAGTCTGACAGCTGGTCCATACGGAACGTTCTCGACTCCATGCACTCGTTCGCCCTCTTGTAGTCGATCACCAACCTCCTCTTGCCTGACGACTCCGTCACGAAAGCCGGAAATAGCTGCCCTTTGCGCCTCAGGTTGCGGCCCTCCTCCGGGGTCGTCCGCCGGGCGAAACCGAGCGCGAGCCATCTCGCTATCTCCTTCGAAGCGAACTCGCGCTCTCCCACGCCCATCAGGTATGCTCTCGGCCTCTGGTAAGGGACCTCCCGTACCCATGGGAGCTGCAGTCCGAATCGCAACTGTCTCACCAACCAGTCGCTCGCGCCGACTTCCTTCCAAGCCCTCTATGCCAGGCCCACACCCACGGAAGGTGGGACCATTCCTATTTGCGTCCTCGTCCCCGGCTGGCGCCTCTCCCAGTTCCCTTTCCTCCGCCGCCGCGACTGCGGGGGTGATTACCTCTGAGGGTGGCGTCCGGTTGCCGGAACTGCTGAACAGCTTCCGCCGGATTCCTCCGCCTGTGCCGGCCGGCGAGCTGGGTGGCGTACTTGATTGCCTGCACCTGCTGACGACGGAAGGCCTGGCGGCCTGCGGAACTGCAGGCGGTGGGGGCGTCAATGTATGCTGACAGAACCTCCGGATCAGCGACCCCGGTGGCACCTTGTTTGCCGGCGAGTACCTCGTAGCGGGACGCGGCTAATTCGTATACTCCAAAGGTGCAGAGCTGGGCGTCGGATACAGATACTATTGCCTGGCGGATTTTGCGGACTGCCTCAGGGTCGGTGTCTTCGGGGATCTTCTCGACGGACTCGATGAGGTCCTCAGCAGCCTGGGTGAGTGTGTTGGAGGCGTGGGTGAGGTACGCAGCGGATGCGTAGAGGCCGGCGGCCTCCTCAGTTCTCCCCGGCGCTAGTTCCGGGCGCGCAAAACGTCTTGAAGTGCGCGACGCTCTCCGGCTCAAAGCCGACCGGGTAGCTCGGCTCGAATCGCGCGGGGACTTCGAAGCCCGGACGGATGACGGAACCCCGGCGGGCCCCGTACCACTTCGGAGTGAAAGCCCGGGGGCCGTATAGAGCCTCGTTCGGATCGTCCGAGTCCGCCTCTTCGTCTTCTGGGTCCTCAGGAGGTCCCTGATCTCGATCCTCAACTCTGGTGAGTGTCGCGGGGGCCTCGACAGCTCGTGCGGCGGCTTGGGCGGCGAGATCGGCGGTCGGAGGGCCAGCCGCACCAGAATTCTCGACGATGGTGGTGTCGGTCTCAGCGGCGCGAGTGTGGAGGGCAGGCGCCGGGCCCGGGAGGACTGGAGACGGGTTATCATTAGCCCTGTTGGCGAGGGCTTCGTTGATCTTTTGTGCGACGATATCGCTAATTGCGGCCGCAGTGGCCGCGTCTAATGCAGGTGGCGGCGAAAGGGCGGCGCGCTCTTCGCTCGGCGGGACCGATGGCGAAACTTCTCCTGACATTCCTAGCCGACGGGATCGGCCTAGGTAGTGCGTCGAACCTCCGAGCAGGCTGCACGGGGAATCGCTTCTCTCGTAGGGAAGAGGATGACTGGCTCTTCCGGTTCGCCTGCCTGCGCGCCGACGGCAGATAATGTACTGTACTACTGCCACGCCGTCCTCTTGTCCACGTGTACAGCGCGCAATCGTGTCCAAGAGCAGGCGCGCAGGCATCGCGCGGCGTAGGTCATTACATGGTGATCCGTGGATACCTGACCGTATCCGCAGAAGTCGCGCGGGGAGGCCGCGGCGCGCAACAGGTGGCCGCGCGCGTTTTGATCGCGCGCCCCCGCCGGGCGGCCGCATACCCGGCGCGCCGTTTTCTTAGCTGGCGGTCGAGAGGCTTGAGGGGGGCGATGCGTTCCATGCAGGCCATCTCTTTACTCGCCGGCGAAACACACGGCAACGCCGCCATGGTCCCCACCCGGAGCAGCTCTCGCTCCACGTCGGGATTGCCAATAATCGCATGCAGTCCCTCGCCTACGCGTCCCGGAATGCCCTTTCCAGACGCGCGCCACCCACCCACCGTCGGTGACGAGTTCGATCAGCGCGCTGCTTACAATCTCCCCACAACGACTGAACCGCACACCCTTGAAACCGCCCACAACTTTCCTGCCTCCTCTGTCTTTCATCTCCCCGTCCGCAGGAGTTCAGGTGAGGATTGGGGCGCGTGAGCTCGCCACGGCGGGGGGCCATCACTACCATGGCGCCAATCGCGAAGCGTTCGCGCTCCCTGCTGCTGCCGCTCCTCCCGCCGACCGTGGTGCTGGCTCTCTTAACCATGCGCCGCCTTCTCCTGTCCGCACCGCCGACCATCACCGCCTCCGTCGCCGCGGCTGCCGCCACCCCCCCACCCCGCGCCGGGGGTCACGCCGTCTGTAACGACTCGCGGGCAAGACCCTGGCGCGGCGCGAAAGGAAAGGGAAACAAAGGACCTAACGACGACTCGCCCCCACGGCAAAGTCACACTGCAGAGGTCTCCTCTGCCCACTCAGAGGAGACCTCTGAGTGGGCTGCCTTTATTATTCCCATCCCCCTGCTCTCTTGGCCTTCTATCTTCCTCCGCTCCGGCCCGGTGGCGGAGGCACTGACGCCCTTCGGAGGCAGGCACGCCAGCTCGTGTGCGTTGCCCTTGTGCGTGGCCTCGGCCTCGCACGTTATCGCTCCGCGTGTGTGATGCAGGGAATGATGACGACTGAGCAAAAGGGGAGGTGCCGTTGGCCAACGACATGAGAGAGGAATGACTGGGAGTCATATGAAGGAATCACCACATTATCGTAGGTCTGTGACTTACTTGTCTCGATCGAAGTGTAACTCAGCTTCCTATCTGCTACACTGATCACGGTAATTAGTGGGGACCGGACTAATTCTGAACCTGGGTTTTAGAGGCAGTGACTGTGAATAGTCCGGTCCTGACTATTTATGAATCTAGACTATTTACGGTGTGATTCTTAAATAATCGGGACCAGACTATCTTACCAGTGCAAAAATACTCTAGATCAGTTGACAATCTGATGAAAGGACAACTTGTCACGCGATTGGCTCACCGTTGAAATGATTGCGATGCTTCGCGATGATCGCTTGCAGGGGCAAAAACAGTTGCTTCTCCTCCCACTGCCCGTTGACATTCAAGGACATCCCAGTGCGTATCATCGCCTTTCGTGCATATGTCAGACCGGCCTTATCGCGCTGCGCATTGACATCCTGGACTGCTTCAGCGGCCATCTGCAAAAAGAATCTTTTGCCAGGATTTTTCAACTTTCCACTCGCTCCCTCACCACTCCCCATCCATTCCCTTCTTGCCATTAGACCCACTTTATACGCATCCCACCTGCTCCTCCATGCGTCTTTAAGTTTAGATATGACGAACGAATCCGCAGGTTGTACCAGATCAGTGGCGTTCGCGGGAAGCTTCCTCAAGACAGTGTTGATGTCCCGAAGGCATTTAGACACTGCTTCAGTTTCAATGTGCCCCGAGCAGTTGTCAACAAAGAGAGTCCGATTCCGGCCGTAGGTGTCCCTCCTGATTGCCCTCGGCTCCGCAAGCCACTCGGCGAACACACGACCATCCATCCATTCCTTACGACCTGAGCGATAGCAGACATCGGTAACATCGTCCGGTACACCTCGTATCGGATAAGAGCAGTTCGGATTCTGGAAAATTAGCATCGTCGCCTCTATCCTTGCATGAACACCACCCGCTACTCTTACCATCATAGTTATCCCTTCATCGCCGGAAACAACATCTGCATATTTCACAGACTCCTGGCCACGTAATCTAATAGTTCTCCCGTTGTCCATATTAAACGAAAAGTGCGTTTCGTCCGCGTTCTCGACTAAATCTTCAACTAAGTCTCCAGCCATAAACCCTCGCTTCAGAGTCCCAAGATGGTACGCCACATTCTTTTCTATGAACAATTGCTTGTCGGGACTTACGGAAAGGTTGCCAGCCTGGCGTCTTATGACCAAGTCATGGGCAGTCATGAACGTCTGGACCCATCTCACAGTAATTCGTTCGGCGATTGGGGCTCCTCTGACGAGCATGGTGTGGTTAAAAGAAGCGTCAGGATCTTTCGTTTGGATCAAGCTTTTTGCGGCACAGACTAGGAAGGACGGACTGAGCTTTACATTCATCGAGTGCAGCCGATCAAACTCCCCTTTCAGAGCTACATATAAATCTTTCACCCACTGTTCTATCTTTCGTCCACGTCCATTAACAGCCTTATTGTTCTTCCGTTTTCGGCTTTGAATCCCCGTTGACGACAGATTACCAAGCCGACGCCCGGGAGCAGATAGACTGATGTACTTGGATCTGTTTTTCCACCAAAAAGAAACCTTGCTGTGGTTAGTTTTGTAGCTGCCCGGGAATATATGAGGGAAATCTCGCAAGGCCATAGCCGGAAGACCGTTTTGCCTTGTTTCATTGGCTTGGGACAGAATCCATTGAATCACAGTTCTGCGCTGGCTGATTGTAGAAACAATCTGCCGTTTTTCTGTCTTGGGAGACGATATTGGCTGTGTCGGAGACCAGTAAGGCGCTGGATTGGTGATTAGTTTCGGGCGTGGGGCTCAGGGACACTGGGGGTCGTGCTGCTATCGCGGCCGCCAAGGACCGTTCAATGGGTCCCTGGGTTGGCATTGCGGTTGCTGGAGGTGCTCAGGATGTGAACCACTTGAGGGAAGGGGAAAGATCAGTGGTGAAAGAGAGGGGATCGGTGGTAAATGGAAAGGAAAGGTCGATGTGTCGGTATGGGCTGATGGTGATCACCAAATGTGCGATCAAAACATGTGACCAAAAAATATGGACGGCCAAAATTGCACAGTAAGCAATTCCAGGAATGTGTAAATTCACTCTGTATGATCCGATGGCCACATACCGTGACACAGGGACCCCTATGTGAAACAGGGAGGCGTAGATGATTACAGTACGGTATCATGAATCTGGGGGTCCTGAACAGTAAATAGTCCGGACCGGACCAATTTTGAACCAAAACTAATTAGGGTATCACGACTAATTACCGTGATCAGGTGTAGTGTATCTGTAAGCGCACCCCTGATGCATTGATAAAATTACCCCCCCCCCAAATAATCTGTAAAAACCTAGGTACTTGGAACAGCCCTATTGGCTGTTCCCTTTGCGAAGCGAGAGACCGCCACCGATCGCGATCCGATCCCCTCGAGGCCACCTTCATTCCGTTGCAGCATCCGCTGCTGTCGTGGTCAGGGTGTGTCTTAAGTTAAGACAAAAACGGGGCGGGTTGAGAGTCTTAACATGCCCCGTTTTTGAGGGTGTCGGAGCATTTTGTGGCCGGGGGGCCGTGACCTGTCCATAAACCTTCATTAGTTCGTGCTGTCAGGACTCAAACTTTTGGGGGGGATATCGGCGCGAGTGAGTAAAGCGAGTGGAGTGGACAGAGAGGCCCAGCTTCTTGTGCGTTTACTGTCCTTATTCCCTCTACCCTCCAAGTCCGTCTAGCCTCGGGAGGAAGAGGGTAACGCTTATGTTCTATGTAGCAGTAGCCGAGCTCACTCAGGTCAGTGAGCTTGGGGATCGAGAGAATGGCCTTTGATCGCGACCGTGGGACAAGCACAGTTAAGCAAGCACTGTGTACAACAGATACACGATTATTGCAGTCATGAATCATCACATTGGCGGCGCGTAGAAACCTCAAAAAATAAAGGAAAATAAACTCATTCGATTTCTTGTGCGCACATACTGTACCCTTGCGGTACAGTAAGTGGCAGAGCCTACATTATTTAATTCTTGCCGCCGGAGGATGCAACACAATTTAGAAGAGCCTGTACTATTACTACATAGACTATATAGTGTGGCCAGCCACAGGCACACAGTCCACAACAACAGGGAATCGAATTCGGGGTTCGTAATGGATCACTGAGCGGGTCGGCGGAGGACAGCTTAGGGAGGAAAGAGTCTCTTGGTCACTTGGTGTTGCCCAGAGCGGAGGTGACGGTTCAGAGGCGGGTCCGAGGAGACGGCTCGGAGTGCTGGCGAGCCGCTTGGCCAGTTGCGTTCTGGGCAAGTGCGGTGACGGTGTTCGAAGTTCGTCGTTGTCTGCCTTCCCAACAGTGGTTGAGTCGGCCTTTATATACTGTATTGACACGAAATCATCTACTAGCTAGCCTTCTGGGTTCTATAAACCCATATAAGGCATATCAAGGATGCTACTATAGACTTATGGATAACTAGTGTCCCATAAACGGAGTTGTCAATCAGATGCGTAGGTCGATGAGCGACAGCATGCAACAATAGGCATTTGCGTGCCTCTACTAATTTTCACCCCTACTATAAAATAAATCTTGTTATCGATATAGCATCAGTACTGCCGTAGGCACATCTTTTGCGAAGCATTTATTATGCACGCAATGCCGTTTCTGGCTGGTTGGATAAAAGTCGAGGATGGAGACTGATAAATGCATGCCCATCTGCGGGCCTGCTGAATACAAAATAGGGTAAGAGCAACAAGGCGGCTGATGCGCTGGTGAGTTTCATTGGGTTCTTTATTTGCTATGCTTGTCTCCTGTGCTGGTCTTCCTTATTTCTAGTCTGCTCCGACGGCTATCTTACAATTATGAAAGTCTCAAGTACAATCGACTACAATAGACAGGCAAAAATGGGGCATTAAGGTTCCCAAAAGGACACTTCTGCGCATACATGCATCAACTGATCGAACCAGTTCAGACCAGTCGACTCCCAAGTCAAGGACAGTCACTCCGTATAGTTTACATCCGCGACGTCAAACTGTGCCGTGGCGCAAATTTGCTCCCCGCAAACTATGCCGCACACCTCTTTGGCGGGCAACCAGAGCTCTTCACTCGGTCACGTCACTAATAACTGGCAAAGCAAGAGCCCAGGAAAAAGCGAGAAGTGATTAAGGTCAACTTGGGTTATTTTACTGAGGCTACGTCATCTTTCATTGATCCTAATCACCACCAATTATAGTTGTATCAAAAAGAATACAAAAGACTCCTAGTGGAAGGAATTAACACTCTTATCATGACCCACACCTGCTAGTAGTAACGCCAACAGTAGAGAAAGGTGCCTAATAGGTGGGAGGAGCGTAGTGCGGCTTGTAGCAGCACTTGAACTGGGGGCGGTACGGCTTGTAGCCGTGGCCATGGGGACGGTGCACATGCTTATCCTCACACTTGACAATCTCGCACCACGGCTTGTATCTGCAGTCCTTCCTGGCCCACCTCTTGGCGGTGCACTTGCACGGGCAAACCTTCGGCTTCATGCTCGGAGAAGGAGTCGCGGAAGGAGTAGTCGACGGCGTCGGAGTAGGGGTGGCGGTCGGGGTGGACGACGGCTTAGGGGGGTCACAGCATTCCTTTCCGCGGATGTGATATTTCTTGCAGGCAAGGACCTTGCACCTCTTCCTGAAGATGTACGAACGGCACTGGCGGATCGCCTTGCGCGCCTTGTAGCCAACGAAGCACTGGCAGGGGCAAGGCGGAATGTACTTGGTGTGCTCCACGGCTTCAATATCTTCGGCAGCGAAGACCGAGGTGAGAGCGAGACCCACAAGGGCCAGGAAAAGAGCAGCCTTCATAGTTGTGGGATAATTAGATGGATGAGAGTGGTCGGTTTTGGGCTGCGATGGTGGTGGTGGGGTGAGAGGAAATTTCGAGGTTTGGTGGAGCGGGGTTTATGTAGAGAAGTACTGGATCCCCCGTCAGCTCTGGATCAGGCTACATTGCTTTGAGACGGAGATTCTAGAAGGGAACAGAAACGGCAGTAGCAATGCACGAATGAAAGGCATCCCGTTGTGGTTGAAGAGGATAACCAGGTGGGGGCGTCAGGCAGAGATTTACGCCATCCATGACGAGGATGAACAAGAAGTGATGTGTGATAAAATGCCGAAGAGAGCTTCCTGTCAGAGGATGGCAATACCAGTAGAAATTCACAGAGGTTGGAAGTTAGAAAGTCCTCGCATCGTAAAGCGCAAATGCATTCACGGGGAATGACAATGAATTTACAAACCAGTACTGTACCTGTAACCCTATGTCAGGGCATGCAAGGTTGGTGTCTCTCACTAAAGTAGCGGATACGTGTCTGTATGGCCATTGTAGATGTGTTTGCACTGTATATCAGAGGGATATTCCCTCTGACGAACATCGTCCAGAGGTCGTAGTCCTGGAACAATAATAGATAAAAATCGAGTTGAAGTTGGACGGTTGAAGGAGTATGTAGGAAACTGTCCACTCATGTGCAGTTTGAAAAGTATATTGCGCGGTAAACAAGCTATGTGGGGAGCCACTGCTGACGTTAGACAGCCACGCTGTTCGAAGTTGATGTAGCAAAGCAGAAGGACTTTGTATGCGATCCTTCAGAGCGGAATGAAGTTCCCTGGGTGGGTGGTACATATTGACGCTCTCTCATAGAAAAGAAGAGGGAGTTTCGCCATGCGCAGATAAAAACGAGTTTGCCGTTTCTACTTCGAAGACTAAGGGAAACACAACATGTCATTATTCCATGTAATCTTTGACGACCAGTCGACTAGATCAGGCCAGGCCCCATCAAGTTACAGTGTACCGGGTCTCCTCTGAGCTGTAACTCAACTTTCCAGTGGGAATTTGGACGATGACAGTACAGTTTGCGTTGCACTCTGTGCATTTTTCGAAAAAAACGTGGACCTAGAGTTTCGCAGGCAAGTGGCGAAAGGACGAATAAGGGCGTACTTGATGGAGAGGGCAAATGGCATTCCTCTCGATCTTAGAAGTGTGTACCCCCGGCGGGTGCCTGGGAAAATGGAATGGTGTGAACCTCATAGAGGGCAAGTGAAGGAATAGGCACAGACATGGTCCTTTGGGATCTTGAAACAACCTCTATCACACGATTGCTCTCCGAGTGGGGCCATGACCGTGGGGAATGGATGTTGCTTGTGTTTTGAAGAACAGTACCGTGTACAGTACCGTACTATCTACTCAAGGAATTTCCAGCGTCATGCATCATCTGCGGAATGCAACTTTGCAAGGGATTGTACCGGTATGAGTACAATTTTGTGCAACAAAGGGATAGGCAGTGTATGAGGCAAGCTTTTTAAGTAAGCAGCATTAGCGCATAGATCCGCACACGGGAGCATACTGTACAGGCGAACTCTTCTGATACGATTGCCGGCCAAGCGTCAAAGGCAGTGGACGTCATCGTTGTCCAACTGTTCCTCAACGCGCAGATGGCCCCCCTGCAAGACTAGGAGAGAGTACTATGCCGTCCCTGTCCCAGGGCGCAGAATTAGGGACAGATTCCTTGGCGAGCGTCGTGAAAACCTAGACGGACTCCCAGTGCCCGCAAGGCGGCCTATCATCGAGGGGAATGACGAATGATTGTTCGCGTGATGTGTTCCAGCCAGTGGGCTCCTCCATTCGGCATGAGTGCTAGTACGAGATTGGTCAGGATTACAAAAATCTGTGTATGCTGTCGACGAGAAATTGTATCAGGGCTGCTGCGGGCTTGAATTTGCGTCCAAGTCCCAATAGATGGGGCGTGTCGACAAGGAGACTGAATAGGAAAGTCGCATGTATAGAAGGGCCGGAGGCGAGAGCTGGGTGGGCTAGAGGAAAGCATGAAGCTGGAGTGTGTCAATTGAATAATTCCGTTTTAGCCAACCATCACTGATTGACTCGGGGAATTCTGAAACAAGGGCTACCCTTGGTACCGTATTGCTGCACTTACGCAGCGCGAAGTGTGTATCCGACCGTGCCGCGCTGCACCGCATAGCAATCTTTGATGTTCGCGCGATATGTGGGAGCCTGCGTCGCTGTCATCGCCCACAACTGCGACACACGATGCCACATGGCGCGGTTGTCGCTGCTGAACGAAATCTCAAGCAAGTTGACGCGATCATTGCAACACGGCTCCTTCTCGCGCCCAGTCAAGCCAGCACCTCTCGCGCAATCACTGCTGCGGTTGTCTCAAATTCTGTCTCATAAAAAAAAAATCGAGCTCGACTTCAACTATGATATAATTCCAGGCTTTGTCTTTCACTCCTTTTCCCTTATCCCGAGCCTCGCCGACGTCAGCAATTTATGTCCGTGCGCATTATGTCAAATCGCAAAAGAAGTAGAAATATTTTAGAAGGATCCTAGGCATGCACTTGAGTCACCTACTTAAAATAATCAAGCGCACTGGGGCTGGCCTCTTCTCTTCCCGTTCGTAGACATGCAATCGTCCGGTTTGAATCTGTAACACGACTCAAAAATTCTGCAGATTTGTAACGTGCTGTCCTCACCAGCCCACAGGTTCTCCTTTCAATCTGCAGTACAGAAGGTACGTAGGGCATTAAATCTGTTCTACCGTGCATGGAAGTATTCTGTAACTTAGAAACCACCCATGTTGGAAATTTATGACGTCCTACGATAATAGATACAATACCGTACACCACCACATAGAATATAGTACTCGAGACAGTGTCACTGTGAAGCCTGACAAAGTCTACTGCAAGTCTTGTACTGCTCCTAAGCATGAGAAGCACCTCTCGTGGTCCGTGCGTCTGTCACTCTTTGTAATTGATATTCCTCCTCCATGACATAAAGTTGTGTAAGCACTGTAAAGTACACTGAGATACCAGCACTTTGACTTAGTCACAATGACGAGGCCGCGCTCTGATTCTACTGGATTGATCTTGAATTATGGAACGGCACGGGAACGGCTTTGATATTCGTCGGTATCCTCCTGCTTTACGCGTATTCGAGTAAAGTTGCTTCGTACGGCACTCTCAAGTCCAAATCATATCGCATCGCCTTTCTTACCGCAGTGCCCGCGCAGAGCACCATATCTTTACCACCGATTTCCCTGGGACTGTAAGACCGTTTAAAAATTCACTTTGCACTCCCTTGTCTGCTCCTACTCTTTTTCATCACGGATGGAATAAATACGCAATATTAACAGATTGAAGCATCCTGACGGGACGCACACCATGGATGTCAACCTGCTACGAGAAGTTCGCTCAGCATAGGACAACGCTCGCCCTGCACTAATTCGGCTCAATAATGTGACCTGCTCACCGCTCCCCCTCGGAGCGGTGAGCGGTGCCACTGCTTGACACGTCTCTGGGATCCCATTTCGGTTCGCGCGATAGGGACTTACCTCCCTGCAGTTCAAGATACCGTTTCACGCATGCAAAATACCGTTCTACAGTACCATCCTCGCGACTTGTCGCCAACGCATAAAGATTTACTTCCGTTCCAGCGCAGCACACCTTTGACACCCCACCCACTACTGTAGGAGACTGCGATTCGACATCAATTCCTCCGCATCGAGAGACACAAGTGAATGCATATCTATGTCAGTCTTGAATCCTCGCACTGAATTCCCGTTTTGAGATCTTCCGCTTCTGCTCTACTCCGCAACGATACGACTATTCGTCTCTGCGACACCTCCCTTGCCGTAGCACAGGGCGCTCAAAACGGATGGATGCAAATTTACGCCATGAGAAACACAAAAGTCGCCTAGTTGCGGACTCCTTCCGGTTTCTCGCTATGGGTGCGCAAAATTCTGCCAGACGGCTTCGCTGTCGCCGGTTCCGGCGCCACCTGTAAAACGAAAGAGAAGGGAACACGTACAGCCGCATCAGCTCTTATGGCGTGCACCTGTGGCGCTGCTTCCGCGCCTCTCATACATGAATGGTATCCGCGTTTTCCCGTCCTTCCATAGCTGAAAATGAGTCTCGCCGCGGTACTCAAACGAATACTCTGGAAGAGCGGGAAAACGTTTGGGTACCGGTTCGCACGTCTGTCGGATATGCCAGAGATTAAGGTGATGACGTCCTTGAAGAGTGCCCAGGCGGCGCCTTCACATCTCTCTGAACGGTGGAACCGGTCAGGCTGACTCGTGCATGGCCATGGTGCAGCTATGGGCATAGGTGAGCGCTACCGGCATAGACTCTCTGGGTATGAAAGAAGCAGAGGTATAGGGAGAGGTTCCGCTCATTCGTCGGGACGAGGAGACTGTTTCTGTGGTCTCTGCGCTTTCTCTCCTGGTGGGGAGGTGTTTTGCGCGTAGTGTTGGGTGGTACACACAGCGTGTGCGGGTTTGTGTAGGGGTAGAGAGGTGCGAGTAGGGTATGTGTGGTATTGTGTGTGCAGCTGACAATCTGCAGCCATTCCTGTGTGCGTTATTGACATAGGAATATCCATTTTGAGTGCATAGATGTGCGATGTTTCTATGTTGTGCTACAAAAGATGCGACCGAGCTCCGGACGCCATCGCTGTTATTTCAGTTCTTCTCTATCTAGCACTGTGCTACAACACAGTTTCTACATCCAATGCTTACATTGTGTACTGTAAACAAAGGGCCAACATAAGGGGAGTCGAAGCAGGCAGTGTGTGTGGTATGCCGTCTTCTTGAGGACGGTCCGTTCCATTATGACACGGGCGCGTCATGCGCGGTTCTAAGGATAATCCGTCTCTTCGAGAATGAGAAGGTCATCTCTCCCTCCAGCCTCCTCGGTTCACCAACGTCAACGATATATCGGCGTCTTTCGGAAGAGAGACATGTGGAGAGAAGGTGGAACTGATTCATCACGATTGCTCTGAAGGCAATTCAGAGAAAAGTCCATATCACAGATCCAATTGGCCTGGATTTCTGTCCTGTGGGGCTTCAAATGAAGGATGAAGGATGGAAAACTCATCAGAGTTCACAGTTTGCTTTGCAAAAACAAGATAAGCTCTAGGAGATATAGATATTACTGCAGGCATGCAACTT